CTCAAAGCTAAAATGAGCAGCTGGTTGGTTATAACGTAGTTAATTTCCAAGCTTCGTCTATTAAATGATTGACTGATTATTTTTTCCATTTATAGATTAGAAACCATCTGCCAGCTAAAGGTGCTCTGCTAACCTCCAATGCTTAAAAGAAACGGACTTATACTTTGTTATAGCCGACTGCCTGCAAGGAAGCTACGACTCAGCGGGCAGATGCGAACTGTGTGATAATTCAAACCCTAATCCTCAGCCGAGTTACGTTGACACAAAATATTTTCTCGCCTTGCTGCCTACACGCCAGAATAGACGATCGATAAGGCCTGCCCGTCTATTCCTATTCTAATGTTGACCGACCGATAAGGCTCGCCTGCGAATAGCCCATTTTGGTAAGCCCAATTTTTTAAATTGTTGACCAATCGATCGCCTGCGATTTGCTGAGGTCAGAGTCGCAAACACCCAGCCAGTCCAGCTCTGACATCCTTCTCGCCTCGTCGTGTCTGTCGAGCAGCCATTGGGCAGAGCGACTCATTCTTTGCACTGGACTTTGGCGCCTCATTCGACGCAGCGTTGCTGGCCGAAGTAGTGTCACCGGAAGACGAGTGTGTGCTGAAGGCAGAGAGGTGAAATGTTGGTGAATACTTTGTGTTTTGTGCAAAGACGCATGGAGAGATTGACCCTGAAAACGACGCTATGAAGAAAGACCGTGCTCATAAGTGCTTCCCTATTATGCATCCACTCAACTCATGCATGCATACAGGGTATCGCAAAATTAGGTATAAGAATAAAGTATGCTTTCAACTGGCTACCTTTCTTGTATATTCTAACATAAAGTGGATTTGATGAACCTCTTTCATTTCGTATGCAAGCATATGATGAAGAGATGAGTGAGTCGATCTCACCAAAAGACGACGACTGCAACTGATTGTCTTTAATAGAACTTTCAAGTTGAGGCAGCCCACGATACACAATCCCTCGTTGCAAGTGAAAGCAGGCTAAGCTTCGGCCTGTCATGATCAGAGTTGAAACTATTTCTCTCAAAATAAGAGGGTCTTCTTGAAATGGGGTTTGCTTGGGACTTTTCCAAAAATGAGTCCCAGCTCTGATGATGCTCGTCAAATGGCACGATGAGCGGAAGTTCAGTCCAGTTTCATTTGAGACGAATGAGTATGTCTCGTGGACTGTGTAAACCTGAGTCGTGTTAAAGCCAAACAGCTGCAGAACAGCGGGAAACAGCCGCGGTCTCCTGCTGAGATCGCCCTATAAATCTGTCCATCATCCATTTTAATATGAAATCAAAGTCTCCATAAGACTTTTCTTAACTTACTGTTTGGCATGCATTTTTCTGGCTCTGGCGACGTCAGTCACATGACAGACGAAAACTCATCACGAATGGATCGAGGTCACAAAATTGTGAACCGAGGTCTTCTTCGTGCATTCCAGTAGTCACAAGTCCGAGGCAATCCCCCTTCGATATCCGGTGAGGCCAAATTATTAATGTAATGCGATGTATTCACCCTATTTCGTGTAAGGTGATGA